AGGCCAAAGACCTCTGGCATATAATTACGGATATGTTGCTTAATGATCCCAACCAGAATAGCCAATTGCTGCAAATGAAATTCTTGCAAACGAGCTGTGGAGGTGCGAGCCACAGCAGTAAAGGCAGGAATAATCTTTCGAAATATCTTGATCAGTATACCATTTGGTCATGCAGCAGCAAGAGAACCAATGCACCTGCGGTAGGAAGGCCACACATTTCAACCCTTGCGTCCTAAAAATGTTCATAATCGCTTCGATGACGGTATGGTGATGATTGCTAAGTGACTGATCCTTCAACACAGCCAGGAGAGACGTGATCACCACAGTTTGGTAGTAATCGTCGCTGCCTGTCAATGAACCTGTCTGAGAAATGGCGACAGCATTGACAGCAGGAAGTGGCGTTTCATTCGTGGCTTCCTCATCCGGCCTCGTCTAAAGGTATGTCAGTATATTGAAGCAAAGAGGCGCATACCAGACAAACCTTTCGCCTGTATGGATCCAGAGCTCCAAGGATACCGAGAACTTTGACTACTTCTCTTACAACCTCGCGGCGTGCATGCGGAGCAGATTCGCTTCTCAGAATGCGTCCCAAGATCGGAAGTAACTGAGGATAGTCTACCAGGGGTGTTATAACATACCCGGTACTAGAGCATAGCTGGCCAAGGGTGTGGAGAGCGGCGTCACGCTTGACATGAGCTGGGTCGGAGAGTCTAGAGATGATGACCTGCATAAGCTCCGGGATATGAGGAGCCACATCTTCCCCACCAACAGCTGCCAGCTCCCCGAGACACATGAGAACATTGGCAGCTACAGCCGGGTTGCTATCATTCGCCTTCTGTAGTAGTACGCGAAGCATGGGGAGCGCATATGGCTTTATGAGGCGCTGAGTCGCGCTCACCAGGAGAGTGAGAAGACGGGTGCAATCTTCGCGATTTCGCCTGTGAAATGATTCATGGTTTGTTCTAGGTCATGGTATGAATGCACGTACATCACAGTTGAGTATTCTAACTCTGTCAATAGTTGTATCAGGGCCTTGCGCAAGGAGGGCATGACGTAGGCAGGGTTATGTTTGGCAAGACGCCCGATCAAAGTGACAGTAGTAACACGATTCTCGAAGACCTCATCATTGAGAGCAATAAAGATTGACCTGACATTCTCCGCTTGCGCCAAGTGCTTATCAAACCTTTCATGAAGAGAGGACAGCACAGTTTGTCGAATGGTAGGATCTTCAAGTAACATTGATTATGTTAGGTGGTCTGTAGGGGAATAGATAAATTTACCTGGGTCTGCAATGCCTACTGTGAGGAGTTTGTCGAGAACGTCACTAATTATTTCAATCGCGTGACTACTCGCTTGGTAGCAAATCGGGTCCCTGACGAACAGCCTGCAACAAGTGAGAGCACCGGCACGTCGAACGTCCGCATTGTCGTCCTCTAGATAAGGAAGTGCGGCATTACGCACAAACTCGTTCAAGATATGACCTGCTTACGTTGAATACGCTATATTAAGTAGTAGCAGGCAGCTTACCGCTGAAGTCGAAGGTGCCAAGCGTGGACAACGCAAGTGTGACAAGCTCAGGACTCTTACCGTTCCTGGTGGTCTTCACGGGTCATGTTTAATATGATCGACAGAAATATTAAAGAACTCACCTGAGATGAGCTCAAGTCTCTCGTAAACGCAGAGACGTCACTCCTGACAAGGGAAGGTGGGGCTCCGATGGCTTTGTAAGGCTGTCCACATAAGATCATGGAAAGTAGATCCAGTAGACGGTCTGATGATGTGTTTGTTTCAATAAGAATGCCATGTATGGTGTCAACTGACGTACCTTGAATAGTCTTTAGCAAAGGAGGGATATTACGTGCAATGGCCATCAGTGCCTGTCTAAGAGGCTCGCTCAGGCCGCACGCAAAGAATAAATCAAGTTGATCGTGAAGAAGCTTCGTGAGGTTTGGACCGACAGCGGAAGCAAGCATTCCAACACATTGGAAAATGGGTTCTTCAGAAGGAGCATTCTTCTTTCTGTAAAAAGAATTCTGACGACTGGATAAAACAGTCTATAGAAGACGTACCCCCTAGCTTGTAGACCAAACTTAATTTGAGCCATTATAGAGTCCAGGAAAGGTTTCATGTCACTTCCTACAGCAGTGGCGGTGTGACCGATAGCGATGAATGCTGAAAAAATAAATAAATATGTAGCATTTTCACTGATAGGGGAATGCGAACCAAAGGACCTCTCGTTTGGCTTTTCCAGCTGCGTTAGTAGATGTCCCATGGATTTGTGCAGGTGATGTTCTGAGAAAACTTGCGTTTCGTAGGCGGCAAGAGTTGGGATTAGGGTGATGACCATCTTGCGAACGAGACCGTCTCGATGTGATTTGAAACGAAGAATTTGTTCTGCAGTGTCCAAAAACGATTCTCTCATAAACTGAAAGCAAATATTATTCAAATGTGATGACGGCGCTAAAATCACTTACCATCTCGCCATGCAACAACAGTTCTCGGTATGTGAGAAGAGACCCATGAATGACCTCAGGTTGTGACATTTTGAGTCCTAGTTGCGCGTCCTGAAGAATCTTTAAGAGATAAGTTGTACGTGTTTGCCGTTCACGTGTTGTGACAATCTCAAGACATGCGGCAAGAAGCTCTGCAGCTCCCTCCCTGACAATGTTTCGAGAATCTCGAAGAGGTATGAGTATCTTGTCGAATACGAGGCTAATGTGGGAATGAAAATATATCGCACTGTTGCGTGCGAGTTCCTTCAGGATGAGCACTCCAGCATAGCGGGGGGACTCCTGCTTGTCACCCTGCAACAATTCTACTGCGGCTGGAACTTCTAAATCCATAAAGCGCTCTCCGAAGTCGGCCCCTCCGATTGCAGCAATTTGCCCGAGTGTCTTTGATGCGGCAAGCATGATGTTGACATCGTGATTTGGCAGTAGCTGTTTGACGTAGTTGTAAAATCGAAAGAGGTACTTCTTTGAACCAATAGTATCCTCTCCTTCACTTTCAAGGAGGTGATCTGAGTGAAATGAGCTACAGGGATATTGAACTGCGATGTTTGGACGCACCTATGGCCAGTAGTCCACCTAATCTATCTACATTATTCTGGCTGTGCATTAAGTCGAACAGGCGTTTGTTGATGTCATCATCCCAAAGTTTTGCTACTGCATCAGATGGCATCTCTGCGACAGTCATTGCAACCTGTCGTACCATGAGAGCTGATTCGTAAGTATGAACGATGGACGCACATAACGACGCAACTCTGTTGCAGCTTGCAATCGAGCATCGTGCGCAGCGCTCCGTAGACCTTGAAAGATCTGCCCAAGGTGATCCGTATGGGCATACTGAGTTACGGACGTCATAATTGTCGTTGCCAGCGTCCTATATATTCCACTGCTACACCCGCAGTCCGACTACAGGATCGCGAGACAGGAAGAGGGAAGACTGTTTACGGCAACCTAGAACCTGATCCGTCTTGTTTACGTCTATTGAATTCTAAAGATTATCATAGCCCAACGCTTGTTGCAACGAACTTTTGACAGACTTCGTATATGCAGTAGTTGCTAGTTGCGTGTGCATGTCTGTATTTCGTGCGTGCAAGTCCATATATAAGTTGTGCCCTACGTATTTGCATTATGCTTATTCCGAACCAGTGCTACACGTTGCATGGCTACGATGCATCCTCTCATTTGCCCACCCTGTGATTCGACCCCGTCGCGACTCCAGCTCAATACAACCATCCCAAGTTAGTCCGCAACTGTATCCCCTACGGACTACACAGTATAACACGACAATCACGAGCCCGGAGTGGCGAGCAGTTGTTTTGCTCACTGTTGTCCTGCAGAAGACTCGGAGGAACTCGGTCCTTGCTGGTTCAAGTTCGTGCCTCTCCACTACGTTTCTTTGATTACTGGTCTTTCGTTGTCATTCTGATTAATATCTCTATTTCGCTCAAACTAATTTCGTCTTCCGCGCTTCATGAACCAATAGCGTCGTGCGCGTGAAAATCTATTCACCTAACCTACGACAACCTTTCGCTTTCTCATCTCACATCCCTTCCCTCCCGTCTGACGAGTGCGGCACTTACTATAATGCTTCCTAGTTTAGGTGCCTTCGATGCAGAGAAATATTTTACAGAGCAGAGACTCTTTTCTCTTCACAGATGGGAAATACTTCTTGCGAGCTTCTCAGCAACTTGACATGTACTCTCTAGAGAGCTAACTAATACGCCTATCTTTCCCATTTTCCGTCTTCTCGGCCTGATGATGTTGTGATTTAGGTTGCATAATGCGAATGATCTGCTTCTGGCACTTGACTGAGTCTGACAATGCCAGAAGGCAGATCATTCATGACTCTGATCAAATTGCTCAAATTGATTTCACCTCAGTGACTCATTTACTGGATGAGTCGCTGGTGCAGATGATGGGGAAACGTACAAGATACCTCCTGCGCATTGTGCTAGTGCTTCTCGGGTTATATGTGTTTCAAGAGGAAGCACTGCAAGTCGACACAAGGCCTTCTGAAGTCTAAATAGTATGTCCCCTCCTAGGGTTTGCATCTCACAGTGACTGATTAGGCAACAGCAATCGAACGGCCATCAAAGGGAACCAGCAAACATCTTCGCAACCTACTGCCAGGAATGATCTATTGAACACTGACAAAAAGGCACGTCGTTTTTGCATTAATAATGTTCATCTACTGATTACTATCACAGGTATACAAGTACAAAGCGGTTCTATGCCCTACAGTGCATGGTATCTATCTTCATACTAACAATGGTTTGCTTTATAGCCCAACTTGGCTAGACATACTAAAGGAGCAATCATGATATTCACTGCTGGGACTCAATGCTGCCAGTGATTCCTGAATCTTGACCATGGTATTTCTTGGAGGAATGACTAGTTTCATTTGTCTGACCTTTTGAGGAGCCTTCAGCTTCAAGTTCTGCTATTTGAATCTTTGGAGCTAATGATTAATAGTTGATCAAGTGCAACCTATGTGGCCTGGTGGTCTAGTAGTATGATTCCTTGTTAGGGTAGTATTCAATATCGAGGAGGTCCCGGGTTCAATTCCCGGCCAGGCCCTGTTTTTTTCAGGCTAGACTGAGTATCATATGCATGTCGAAGTTTTGAGATATGTTATAAGACACATACCCTGATGCGGCACAATTGTGTCTATGGGCCAAGAATAGGTCCTTTCATTTCTTACCCACGATGGTTTAATTTACAGTCCGCAGTCGCCACTGCTGCAGCGCAGCCTAGGTGCGCAGCTCATGCGCAGGATCGGGCGTACCCCTTTTACTAATAATGCCATGAACTCAAAATTTAAATACTGCCAGTGAATGCCATCGAGACTCATGATACTGCAAAGCCAGGAAGAACCGCAGCTACATACCGCTATGCTCGTTGATGATAAGGGGTCCTCATTATCTCAAATTCCGGATTGTGACCCTCCGCCGTATGGTAGTTTCGTGTCAGGTCCTGCTGCAGTGTCGGCTGTCCCAATAGGCCTCGCCAATGCGCCTACATTGAAGAGCATTCAGTTGGAGAAGCGCCATGAGTTGATATCCGGTGAGCATCACTTATCAATATGTTCTGCCTCTACGTTTGTCTTAAGCTCTGCCTATGCAGGAACTTACATCATCGACCCCGAGGAATCAGGAAATGAGGCATCAGCTCTACAAGGCTTTGCGGCCAGGCATAGTGACCTAGTAGGGTTAACGAAAGCAGCCGACTTCCTCTCTGCAGCACCGCATGCCGTTTTTCGCAATCGTTTCGGATCCATCTCTCTGACTCTAGCAACTAAAGGAACGTCAAAACAATGCCACCGGGCGATAGTTGACGTTTCGACCCGCCATGGGGATATTGCGGTCAACTTGGTGAGCAAAAAGTCTGAACTTCATCTTCATGACGTCGGGTCTTATATTCTGAAAACAGAGTTCTATACATCCTGGTAAATGCATCACGCTCAAGGTAGCTTCCCGAAGAGGTGAGTTAAAGGCGATGTGCTCTGCTCTGGCAGTGCTGGTAGTTTGCGCGCACGGAAGGTCCGATAACCTGAGTCACGAGTGCCGTGTTCTTCGGATTTCACATGGGAAACCATGGAAAATCTGGTTTCCACTAGGCCTAAATCTGTCTCTTCCATCAAAAGTGACGTCGACGCTCAGCTCCTCTTCTTCGTCATATTTGTTTGCAATTTGTACTGACACAATCTACCAGGCAGGATAGTAGTACTACTTCCCCCAACCTTTTGCGGGGACGTGCAGATAAGCAGTGGCAAATTGGGCGGTTATGACATTCTTCCAGGACTGTCTAGCAGCATCCGCAGTATGCACGGGAAGAAGAAGAACACATCATTACTTATCGGTGACAGTACTCCGACCGCTGAGGGGAGTAAATTCACGGATCACTGTCGTCTCTCCACACGTCGCGGAAGGATCGTTCTAGGCTTGAGTGGGCAAGACAGTATGCCGACTCTACAACAAGGGGATACCATTTGGAGGAAAATAGGTTCCTTTCTTCGTGGTGGTGAAAGTACGGGAAATTCTTTACAGGATCTCGCACGACTTCATTGACCTCACGATCAGATTGTGTAGATACACACGACGTGGCGCCTAATTCAATCTTCTATCACAGATGAACGTGAGCAATCGTATGCGTAGACTTACCTAACTCCGATGGTACCGGAGTATGGATCTCACCCTATTCCGCGTTCGATATGCAACAGGTGTCAAGCTTCAAGCGCCGAATAGTTGATAAACTCAGTCATATTACCAGGGACCCTATTTAGTGATCCCCCACTCTTCGCCACCACTTTATTGTTGTCTCTCTGATGTCCTTAGACGCCTCTGATGCCAATCACCATAGCGGGTGTCTTTCTCTCAGACGCTTGTTCAACTTGAAACCTCAACCAGTACCTTATAAGAGTTTCACAAAACAACTGAATTCATCCCATATATGTGATCAGACGCGAAAGGCGCCTGATTCAAAAAGGCTCGCTGATGTCGTATGTTGTATCTTTGCATCACTTTGCGCTTAACTTACCCTTTATCCCGTCACAGACCGATCTGACCTCTCGCGTGTTTTACGATACGTGCTGTGACTTTGGAAGCAGCAGATTCATTACTGCAGCATGCCAGTGGGAGGCTCCTCCCGTTTATTCAGACCTACCATCTCCTAGTGATTCCCTACATAAAGACATAAGGCAGACGATCGAGAATGTGATTGACGCGCTCGATCCATCCTTACGATCTCTCAGTCTCCAGATTCATAGTAAGTCCCTCAGCTCTGACCTCATTTGTATTTCTGACTGTGGGATATACAGGCCACCCAGAATTAATGTTTGAAGAAATGTCCGCAGCCCGTGTTTCCTTCGCGTATCTCACTGATGAAAATTTCATAGATTTGCTCACAAACTTCTATCTGATTTCATGGAAAGCCATGGGTTTTCTGTGACGAGGCATTATCTCGGCCTCAAGACCGCCTGGAGGGCTGAATACACCCACGGACAGGGAGGCAGGACCATTGGAATTAACTCGGAGATGGATGCCTTACCTGAGATTGGGCATGCATGTGGCCATAACCTCATTGCAATCAGTGGGGTAGGTGTGGCATTAGCCATAAAATCCGCACTGGAAACCTACAACGTTCCTGGCACTGTCGTTCTTCTGGGAACTCCGGGTAACGAGTTTGAATTCGGCCCGACACGAGGTACTAATTTCTCCTTCAGCTGAAGAAGGCGGTGGAGGAAAGATTATCCTGCTTGAGCGAGGAGCCTACAAAGGGATGGATGCTTGTTTAATGTCCGTGTACCTCGCTGAATGAATTCGGAACATCGCTGATACATGCATGGCTAAACAGGTGTCATCCTTCCCCTGGGCCCAAGTTGTCTACGTTTGTGTTGTCTTCATTGGCGATGCAATCTATAGACGCCGAATTTTTTGGGCAATCGTGGGTCCTGTGGTTCGTATACGGTCTGATAAGTTAATTGGAAACAGTGCTCATGCTGGGGATGCTCCATGGGAAGGTGCCAACGCACTTGATGCTGCGTTCTTAGCATACTCCAGCGTCTCCGTGTTACGACAGCAGATTAAACCTGATCACAGAGTAAACGGCGTCATAAATGGTAGCGAGAGAGCTGCGAATGGTATGGTCTAGCAATTTCTACCATCAAAACTAAATAACTCAGCGAACCATTTACAGTGATCCCTGACTACGCCAAGATGAGGTGGTATGTCCGGGCGCCGACACGAGACCAGTTAGCACGACTGACAGAAAGAGTGACCGCCTGTTTTGAGTCAGTCTCTATGATATCTGTACGGTCGACGGTATCTTACAAGGTCCACAGGGGCGCCGCGTTGGCAACTTCCTGCCGTCTCAAGATCACAAAGAACGCGTCCTATTACGATTTACGGCAGAATAGCATCCTTGGTAAGTCGTCTTCTCAGTTGTTTTTGATTAATCAACATCATTAACACTAGTATATAGCGGGTGCCTTCTCTCACGCGATATGTCAAGAATCTGGGAATGTCGGACAATATCCCTCAGGGGCGTCCACAGATTTTGTATGTGTGATTATTAAATCTTCCTGTCGACGACAGCTATGCATTGACTAATTACGTTCTAGGGTAATGTTTCATACGGCAAGCGCATCCCTCTAAAATCGCATGTCAAATTTGTACTCATTGTATTTTAGTCTTGCCCTCGTTACATCCAGCTTTTGGTATGTTGTGCGGCGCGATTATCTCTACACTTGTCTGAATGTACACTACAGCCATCCCTACGCAGCCTAATGGGGGAAACCATTCGCCAGCATTTGCTGATTCTGCGCGAAGCACGGAAGCCCACAAAGCATGTATGATTACCACCAAGGCTCTGGCGTGTACCGGTTTCCGTGTTTTGGAAGATAAAGTTTTTTTTATGCAGGTATGTGCATTACCTGTTGGTTGGTCGTGCCATCGTATTCAACGTTAATATGACAGGTACGAGAGGCCTTCGAGGCTAGTGTGTGATGAAGCCATAAAGGACAGCTTGTATGTTTAGCATGAAATTGAAAGATAGGTAGCTACCGCACCATGTATGTACTTATATATGTAGGAGCACCACGGAGCAGATCCTATTCGATAGTCGTTCGAAAGAATATAGTCATAAAAATCAAAAGCAGTCCTAAGATCCGATCGCATATGAAACTATGACGCGTGCGCGAGCATTTGCTCAAACCCCAGCTGTCTCAGCATTACTAGTGAGATGTACGTGTCCCTGAGTCTCCGTGTTCTTTCATTGGATGCTCGTCTCCATTCGGCGACATCTCAGGCGTTGTGTTGCCTTCTCTTCGGGCTTTTCCACGTAGGTGGTGATGCTTTGATTTGCCCTCTGCTGCTTCTGCGACCATTCTAAAATGTAAAATAGAAAGTCGACATGAGCCTATCGGTCACCGCGGATCAACTTGGGAGCCGAACGCACCGCTCGAGTTCGCGTCGGACCTCATCACTCTCATCGGGAACCGTGCTTTTGAATATATGGCCCATGATCATCAATCCCTGACAAAGAATAAGGTAAGATTAACGTCATGACATCGTCTAGATACAGATACGATCTCCGAATAGTGACAAAATGACACACCTTCGCGCGGTAGAACAAAACCTGATCGGACGCCTCTTTATCTTTGAGCACGTTATCCACAACCTGAATAGGAATGATTCACTACTGCACACCCGTAATCAACAATTGAGCGCACCTCCCGAAGAACCTGAACGACTTCGAAACGTGTGCCTCGCCAAGACGCTAGCATGATCTGGTGCGTGTTAACTTATCTCGTAAAAAATTTGCGAGACACACGGACCTTGCCTGTAACATCCTCTTCTAGTGCACGGAGTACATCCTCATCGAGTTCCCCCTTCTTCTGCAGGCGGTCCATCTCGGACATGAGAGACTGCACGCTAAATCTGTTTTACCTATGTCGTGAACGTGTAATCAGAACAATATAGATGAGAAACGAACGCGCTGCCAATGACACCCCATGCATCTTTTGCCACTGAACCCTTCTCCTTCATTCGCGACCAGAAACCTGCACTGCGCCACATAAG